AGTGAACGAAACAATTATATAGTTCTTTGTGTAACTACCAAATACAACGGTAGTAAGAGCTGATCGATCGTGCATGTTACGTGGGCGCACCATCGTGCTCACAGGCACTTGGAGCGTTTCAATAAAATATCATGCTAATTAAATTCGAAATCTATTTACTACCAACGTCTTAATGTTTCTATACTCTCTTTCACCTATTATTGCCGACAATTTCCTGTAAATGCCGTCCAAATGCTCATCTAGTCTACAACAAACACTGGCTGCCGCCATTAATTGCTGCCGCTGCACACTGACACATAAATATATAGTGTGTTTATATTTATTTATGTGTCAGTGTGCAGCGGCAGCAATGGCGGCAGCCAGTGTTTGTTGTAGACGAGCATTTGGACGGCATTTACAGGAAATTGTCGGCAATAATAGGTGAAAGAGAGTATAGAAACATTAAGACTTTGGTAGTAAATAGATTTCGTATTTATTTAGCATTATATTTTATTGATACGCTCCAAGTGCCTGTGATCGTGCTCACACGGGCACGCAAGGAGTATTACCTTGTCCAGAGCAAGGTCCAGAGCACGTATAATACGTATATGATACACGTGCTCTGCCTTGCCAAACTGCCTTGGAACAGCTTGTGGCTCCCTCTATGTGACATTATTGCATGTATGTGCACCCGGTTTAAATAATTTCACACGTTGCACGTGTATAAGTAAAAACGAGCACTAACTGTGATAGCGACGGTAAAAATATAAAGCACTAAAACTTCTTAAAGCAAATAACGGAAATATGCGCAATGAAAGAGACCGTACAGTGACTTATATAGTGGATACAATCACAGGTGATACATGAGCCTACATATTTCGGTAATATTCTGTTAAACTCACTTCCCACTAGATGGCGCGTCCTGCTGGAGTATCGATGCTGGGTCATCGCTAGCTTAGTGTGGCTATTACGGATGTTATTAGGCAATCTTCCTATTATATCGACTTCAGACATGTTGCGTATAGTTTTCCTAATTGCATTTCGTCAAGGTTTCAAGTTTCAGAATAATTTTCTCAGTGTGTAGGTCCCCATAATGGGTACTTATCCACTAACAAATCCTGTCCGTTATGTACTAGATAAATCTTATCAAATTACGTGTGTTCCTGTTCACATTTCATAATGTAATTACCATGTCATACTCTCTATTTTCTCGTTACTTTCAGGAATTTGAACACTGGCATTGCCACGCTCCGCTTGACCCAGGTTTTCCCGATTATGTTTTATGCTGCTATTGCTTGCGATGCCGGCGAAACTCAAGCAAATTGCATTTGCATATTGCGCTTACCGTAATTAACATTACAATATTACTCGTGGCGTTTCTAGCTGATTATAAATTTCAAGGTTACGCTAATATATTTTCTTCGTTTATGGAACAACACGGATAAGATAGAAAGCGAAGTCACGAATAATAATGCTTCAAACTCACTCGATTTCTCTAACGAGTTATTTTGTTCGAGGGTACATAAATCCCCCATCTCAGTGCCATCTCGACGAAGAGGTTCCTTTGTTCCCACGTCATAATCCATTTCATCAGCGCGTTCCGTGTGGTCATAACGTGACCAGAATGTTGTGCGTATTGTCTGAAAGAACACAGTATCATGAACTACATGTACCGTATAAGTATACCATAACCACAGTATCATACATACATACATACATACATACA